CCCCCATCTGAATCATGTTGACGTGGACCTGAAAACATCTGAAATAATTACAAATTATACTCCTTTCGAATTTCGACAGGACGCATTGTTGCACATCCTAGCCTGTACCATAACATACTGTTATGATTTTACGAAAAAAAATCTGCAATCTTATTTTCGTATGAATGCTTTTCTTTAATTGAGGTAAGCAAACAATGGCGAGTTCAATTTTGTTTCATAATAACATGCAACTATTAAGGGAGGGGGTGCGAGGCTGGTTTTAAAGTTCACGTTTTGGGTTAACTTATAGTACCAGGACTCTTTACATTTGATAATACTTCAACCACTTGTAAATCTAAAAATGCTTTCTCTTTTTGTGTTACGATTAACATCTTTCATATTTTTCTGTCCTTGAACTTCTATTTTGCCTATCATGTAACAAAATGTTTTTTCCTCAAAACTTCAATTTTTGATAGTTTTCCTCACCTAGATATTATATACTTTTATTTTCTATTTGATTCCTATGAAATTTTCAGGGATTGTTATTCACACCATAACCTAACTTTATACAAGTGGAAACGCAAATCGATGCATTCATAAGTGAGTTACATGGGTGATTATGTAATCGAATTCAGAGGCACGAGGGTAACTTCTTTTTCTATTCAAGATATCCATGATCCCAATGGTATACAATTTTGTATTGAGTATATCTGTCAGCGTATCAAATTTGAACAAATTTGGTTGGTAAATGAAAAATCATTTTTACTTTCAAGAAAGTTGTTCATTTTTAATATGGCCGCAATGACCATGGTAACGGTAGACTTACACAAAAAAAAATTAAAGTTACATTTTAGATATGCATTCCCGTTATACCTCCTTGCTATAAGGCTTTATCTGAAAGGTCATGGTTACCGAAATAGGTTTATAAACCAGCCGTCGCCCCCCCCCCTCTAATGATTCATAATCTGTAACATTACTTGTGTTGTTGTGTATTTAGTCGGTCAGCTGTTCAGATATACTCTTCCCAAAATCTTGATTTAAAGAAATTGAAATTTCTTAATCAGTGGCATCCACTGCAGTGTCCGAAAGATATTGGTCAAAATTAGAATTTTAAAAAAGTCAGAAATAATGCACAATTATAATTTTTAACAGAATGAAAAATGTTCCACTTTTTCTCTGAAAAAATTGCTTTCTAGGCTTAAGGCAGTTAAAGAAAATGATATGATATATCGTTGTGAGCAACTTAGTTTTGTTACTTTCATCGTTTTGTGTTATAGCATTATCATTACCATGGAGCGTAGCATTAGAAAGACTCACGTGTATGTATGTTTATGACTACTTTGTATGAATAATGAAATGCTTGATAATTATCCTTTCAAGAATGAATGAGTTTTATGTATTAGAATGATTGTGTCTAACGATATAAGGGATATTGTGAAGAGATATTGCAGTAATTGAAAAATATATTCTTTGAAAATGTCAGTAGGCATAAAAAAAAATCATACTTAAAGGGCAAACATACAATAAATGAAATACTACTAACTGCCTTTGTCAATTTTCACCAAATGTCCCAATGTATAAATTGGATCTTATGTTTTATCATGATTTGTGTTCTTTTAAAACAGAAGGTACAAAGAATTGCATTTGGGTTGATTTTAAAAGAACATATTCTGTCAACACTTGCAAGCTTTAAGCTTTGTAGCAGAATTTTGTAATGTTGTGTGCCTTGTAAAAATAAAGACACTGATGCCATTTCTAAAGCAGAGCTCTCAGTCCAGTTCAAAAGTGTATACGAGTTATAATCTTGTTTAACTCTTTAGGGACAGACAAAACACATAATAATTATATATGTCAGCAGACCAAAATGCAACGTTAAGTCCTATTTTGAAACACCATACACAATGGTTCAAATCAGAAACACGAATTTACATATTTCATAGAAAAAATAGTTTTTTCATGTCTTTTAAAGTTTAAGACAAAGAAATCAGAATTAAAAAATCTGTATGAATAATGCAGTTATGCCCCCTTTTTTAATACCACCCCCCCCCCAAAAAAAAACAACAACAAAAAAAACTACGCGTTTTCAAGCGCTGTCGAATGGGCGTCCTCGATGAGTTTGAGGTTTATTCTCTAGCAATTTGAGGAGCTTGAGACTAATGTTTGTGTAGGTCATTGTGAAACTGTTAACTGTTGTGACACAGAAGTCTGTACTCTCACACGCAGTACTTCATCATTGAGGAAGCTCAGTACAAAAAAGTTTCAGTTCTGTTTTTATGAAATTACAAACAATTTCAAGCCCTCTTGTAGAGTATGGCAATTGTAAATGCCGTTTCAGATATTAGGGTTACTCATTTTAAAAAAAAATCTATATATTGCGATTTCCAAAACAAAGGGCGTCTGTGGTGTAGCAGTTAGACACTTTGCTGTCGCAGGCAGAAGATGTGAGTTTAATTTTTGTGTTGGAAGATTTTCCCTTTGTACTGACCCTCTCCATCTGTCTGCTGGGACATTGTATGCTTCTCAGCCTGGATTGGCCCTGATGGGCTGAGTCAAAGCATCCCACCTCCTAAATGATGAAATAAATAGGGTTGATGGAAACGTAAAACACCAAACATGAAAACATAAACACACACGCACACACATACACAAGCACGCACACACGCACACGCTTACACTCACTCTCGCACACACACACACACATACACACACGCATTTATAAATGCGTTATTGACTTGTAATAAAATACAATGTTATGCCCATGACAATCTGTCTGCATTTCTGTGTCATAAAAATCTTTTAGAATTATTTGGTTTTCAAAGGCAAGAGAGTATCAGTTATGTACAATATAATTAAATATTTAAATAGTAAAACAAAACATTCATCCAATTAGGACAATCTGACAAACTCACCATTGCTAGTCGTTACTGCTCAGAGATTTGTTCTACCCCCCCCCCTACATTTTTGAGCGGGGAAAGGGAAGGGGTTGTAGATCAGGTTTTTAAAAATTACCGACAGGCTTATTCTTTATGACAAAACGAATATCAGTGTTATTTATTAAGAATATTCAGACAGCATTTCCCAAGAAGAGCATATACACAAACCTTGACATTCTTTGCACACAATTTTCTTGGTTGTATACTAGTTTCAGCTTCACCTTTTGCACGTATGACAGTCATTGTTATTTTATGCTTCTGAGTCATTGTCCCCCTTGACGGAGCGAAGAGAGAAAGATAGATAGATAGATAGATAGATAGATAGATAGATAGATAGATAGATAGATAGA